TGCAGACGTCAAATCAGCAATCATAGGTGCCGACCTGCTTTCACATCATGGCCTCCTTCCTGATTTAAAGCACAAGCGCCTTCTGGACTCTCTCACCTCACTGTCTTCTCCTGCTGAAATGCATGAAACCGAACTTCATACTGTTTCCACTGTCAATAATGCAGAATATGCACCTCCTACACTCAGTCAACCCTATAGCAAGTTGCTGGAAGAGTTTATTGACATCACCCGTCCAAGGTCAGCCCCATCAGTGGACGCCCCTACAGGAACTCATCACCACATAGTCACCACTGGACCGCCAGTCAATGACCGTCCACGTCGGCTAAACTCAGAGAAACTAAAGATTGCTAAAGAGGATTTCGACCTCCTGTTGCATCATGCTGTTATCCGTCCCTCCAGCAGTCCATGGGCCAGTCCTCTACACATGGTCCAGAAAAAGCAAGGTGGATGGCGTTCCACAGGTGATTTTAGGAGGCTCAATTCCCAGACTGTGCCAGATCGGTACCCCATACCACTACCAGAAGACATCTTTCAGCGGCTGCATGGGAAAAGTGTCTTCACTGTCATTGACCTGGTGCGAGCTTACCACCAAATTCCTGTAGCACCAGAGGACATACCCAAAACAGCGATAACTACTCCTTTTGGGCTTTTTGAGTTCCTGGGTATGCCTCCAGGCCTGCGCAATGCCACTCAGACATTTCAACGTCATATGGACAACCTTCTCCGTGGTATTGACTTCGCAGCATGCTACATTGATGACTTGATAGTGTTCTCGGATTCCCATGAGGAACATCTGCAACATCTACGCAAAATCTTTAATGTACTGCGTGAGAACAAACTCACTATCAACCTCAGCAAGTGCCAAATCAACAAGTCAGAAGTTATGTACCTCGGCTACTCCATCAACAAGCTCGGATACAAACCACCTGATTCCAAGATCCAAGCCATCGCTTCTTACCCCAAGCCAGAGACCATCTCTGACCTTCGTAAGTTTTTGGGAATGCTCAATTATTACCGTCGCTGTATTCCAAAGGCCGCTGAACTTCAAGCCCCTCTCAATGCATTTATGAAGGGTGCCAAGAAAAAAGACAAACGGCCCATCCCTTGGACACCCAGCTCAGAGAAGGCCTACCAAGACTGTGTAGAAAGCATTGTCAAAGCGACTTGTACCAGCTTCATCTCACCCTCTGCAAGTCTCGCACTCGTCACTGATGCCTCGGACTTCGCCATTGGAGCTGCACTTGAACAGCTGATCGACGACTGCTGGAAGCCCATAGGTTTTTTTTCCCGTAAGTTGAGTCCCACCGAAACGCGATACAGCACCTACGATCGCGAGCTGCTAGCGATTTTCGCTGCAATAAAGTTCTTTCGTCACCAGCTGGAAGGACGCCAGTTCATCATCAAAACTGATCATCGCCCACTGGTATACGCCTTTGCTCAGCGCGCTGAAAAAGCATCCCCCAGACAGCTCCATCAACTGGACTTTATTTCACAATTCAGCACAGAAATCGTCTATGTCAAGGGAGAACACAACGCCGTTGCTGACGCCCTGTCTCGTATTAACGCTATCTCCATGCCAACGTCACTGTCTCCTAAAGCCATCGAAGCCGCACAGCTTGAAGACCAAGATACGCCACAAGAATCATCGCCCAATCTGCAACAGCTTGTTATTGAAAACGCCAACGTCCTCTGTGATATCTCTTCAGATCGCATCAGACCCTACATTCCGACAAGTCTCCGACGCAAAGCTTTTGATGTTGTGCATGGTTTGGCACACCTCAGCGGCCGAGTCACTGCTCGAAGCCTCAAAGAAAAATTTGTTTGGCCTGGAATCAAGAAGGACGCCCTCCAGTGGTCCCGCCAATGCATTCAGTGTCAAAAATCCAAAATTCAACGACACAATCGTCTCCCACCACAGCACATCACCGTACCTGACAACAGATTCGAGCATATTCACCTAGACCTCATCATTTTACCACCAGTCAACAAATTTCGTTACTGCTTAACCATAATTGATCGATTTTCTAGATGGCCTGTTGCAGTACCCCTCCAGAACATGGAAGCTGACACCGTCTCGTCTGCTCTCTATGTCAATTGGATTTGCAACTACGGAACGCCACTATCCATCACAACTGACCAGGGCACGCAATTTGAATCTTCACTATTTTCGGCTCTTGCACGCCTTGTAGGAGCGCGGGTAATCCACACCACGCCCTATCACCCGCAGTCCAATGGCATCGTAGAGCGCTTCCATAGGACTTTGAAGGCAGCCCTTATGTGTCAAGCACCCACGCCCTGGACGGAAGTGCTTCCGACCGTTCTTCTGGGTCTGCGTACGTGCCTGAAAGAAGACCTGAATGCCTCACCAGCGGAGCTCCTTTATGGGACACCCCTGCGTATACCTGGTGAATTCTTCACCTCTGAGTCACCCCCAGCTGATCCCCAAGTCTTCCTCGAAAAATACCGGGACCACATCAGGAAAGTCCGCCCAACACCTACGGCTCACCATATCAAATCTCGCTGCTTCATCCTCAAGGACCTCGCAACTTGCAGTCATGTCTTCCGCCGAGTGGACTCTGTTCGTCGCCCGCTCGAACCGCCCTACACTGGCCCGCATGAAGTCGTCAAGAGAATAAATGACCGAGTGTACAGCATTCGAATCAATGGCGTTGAGAAGACTGTCTCTGTGGACGCCCTGATGCCAGCCTACACCCTTAAACCCGATACCGTTTCATCCACCCTGGAGAATCACCCAGCGTCATCCTTCACCATGGACCGCCCTCTTCGCACTTACTCAAAAAAGAAGGTTTCGTTCCTCCCACAAGTGGCTTCGTCACTGGGAGGGGAGTAGATGTGGCGTCATTGTTCCGCGAGTCCGTTGTGTTCAACCCTGGATGGCTCAACTATTGTGTACAACCCTGGTGGCCTGACGTGACGTGACAGAAGACAGCTGTCCCAGGTTGTTGTTTACTTCTAGTCAGCTTGTTGCCGCGCAATTATGATATCGTGTTGTTGTTGTTAACAAAATAAAGTATTTCGATTTATTTGTATGTTCAGTGCCCAGAATTAAACCGAGTTATTAGTAAAACAGTGTTTTCATTCGCTGGTGATATATCAAGCAAACACATAGCAGTAGTAGCTATAGCCCTCTTGAAAGTGCTGCCCTCTATCAACAGCTTATATAACTTCCTATGTACCTACAGAAACCTGTATTTTTTTTCAAATTGACGTATGAAATTGAAATTGATCCAATAGAAACATGACAATATCCTTGCGTCATGACGTCATTTTCATTATTGACCTAGGTATTTTTTCATTATTTTCATTATTAACCTAGGGAGAGAAATTCAATTTTTTCTTAGAAAAATAGATTGAATAATGTCTATTTCTCAGGTTAGTAGTAAAAAAAAAATATTAATTGAATGGGTTGAAAAATGAAAATTTTCGAAAGGTGGTCAGTCCTTAAGCGGGACACACTGTATCTTGTACCTAATCAATTAGCTAAGATAAAGTATGTCAAAAAGGGCTCCAGCTCAGCTCAACCAAAATGTCATCAATATACCTACAATATAATATGTATATTTTTGAAATCAGGAAAAAAATAGTATATTATATACCTAGGTAGAGAAGTTGGTCCTTATATACCGAGCGCTTTTATAAACCGAGGCGCTCGCGCCGAGGTTTATAATGAGTGAGGTATACCTATAATGACTTTCTCTACCGAGGAATATATAGAATTTTTTTTACTACTGCTAGTAGAAAATGAAAAATTTGTTTAAAATCTGTGCTCCAATTATTTTTTTTTGAACGCCCTCTTGAAAGTGCTGCCCTCTATCAACAGCTTATGATAACTTCCTATGTACCTACAGAAACCTGTATTTTTTTTCAAATTGACGTATGGAAATGAAATTGAACCAATAGAAACATGACAATATCCTTGCGTCATGACGTCATTTTCATTATTAACCTAGGTATTTTTTCATTATATTCATTATTCACCTAGGGAGAGAAATTCAATTTTTTCCTAGAAAAATAGATTGAATAATGACAATTTCTCAGGTTAGTAGTAAAAAAAATCTTTTATTTTAGAGCATAAGATACACGGTCAAGTACGAGGTCAAGTACTATATTTAAAAAAAGACTTTGCATGTTTTTGGTGCATTTACGCATCCAAGGATCTTCTTTTTCAGATTTGGCGAGCGCATAGCGAACAATCGGAGACTCAAAAATGATTTACAAGAAAGTTGAAAAAAGGTGTTCCACGTTTTTGGGTTATTCACGCTTCCAAGAATCTTTTCTTTCAAGTTGTCGAGCGGAGCGAGCAATCAGAGACTTAAAAATAATTTAAATTTCAAGCCGTTATATTATTTAATAAAGGTTTTTCATGTTTCTGGTGGAAGGTTTTTCTCGTTTTTGGTGGATTTACATTTCTGAGAACATTCTCTTTGAGGTTTGGCGAGCGTAGCGAGCAATCGAAGATTTAAAGATAACTTCAAGGTGCGTGCCAGAAGGATATTGAATAGGTTGCCGTCTGGAATGAAGCAGAGCAGATTCCAAACATCAACAAGTTTAAAGCCCAAGATAGAAAGATGTTAAGGTACTAATAGAGGTCTATTACTCAGTGGACGAATTTCTTGATGTCAATTCTACAAAAAAACAAAATTTTACTAAAGTATGTTGCAACAGCTGACTGGTAGGACACACGAATTCTAAAGTAATAACACACTTTCCAGTAGGCGCTCGATCAATTGACAAAAAAGGACCTCCTATACCAGTAGGCGCACAATCGGCATGAAAAAGAACCTACTGGTAGGCGTATGATTGTTGGATAACAAAGGACCTACCGGTAGGCGTAGGATTCACTCCCAAAAAAAAATTGTAATATCGATATGACAAATTCGTATCAACATATTTCTCCATCGATGTATAGTATCGATAAAAGATCGATAAGCTACCCATATGATTTCATTCATCAAACTTGACACAAACAAAATAAGTGAGGTTAAGTCAGTATTTATTTTGCTAATCTCTGTGGCTGGAATAGATTAAAATGTAAATTCTTTTACATTTTTCCAATTAAAAATGTGTAACAATGAACCAGGTTACTATCAAATTTAAATACATCATTGTCGCCTGTACATTTTTGCTAGGTAAATTGAATTTAAAACATTTTAATTTTTTTTAATCAAATTAATTTCTTTTTAGTATTGTTTATTATATTATTAAAAAATCTCACCGCTGATGAACAAAATGACAACGAAACCACCAAAACGACGGAAAAATGGAAATTTCCCGAGGACCTGGATCACGCAAATTATTTGCTGAACGAGGCCTACAGGAAAATCGAGGTTCTGGAAGAGAAAATCATTTCGTTGGAGGGCAGAGTGCCCAAGACTTATCCAGATGTTAATTTTTTGAATTATCTCAATAGGAAAAGGATATTGGTAAGTTGTTTATTTCGTTTTGAAATTGAAAAACAACATTTCGTGAATAGATTTTGCTTGTTTTGAAGGAGCAAATATTTGCTGTTATTGTTGCTACAATTTAAACAAGGCTTGTTTTTTAAATCAATGAAAATATTTGCATTGAACTACGTATTTTTACAGGATTTTTCAATTTTATAAAGGTCAAATTGGTTTGGTTAGTTGCCAGTTGAAATAGAAACAAATTCTTCTTCCTTTGATCTCAAAATTATAAAATATATGTTTCAAATTCAATTGAAATCAGATGGTGTTCAAGTTCAAATGATATTTTAAAAGCCTATTATTTTGGAACATCAATAAGCTTTATTACATTCAGATGTCTCTTGAAGTTTTCATTTCAAAAACCCATATATTTTTATTTTTAGCTTGATTTTTAGAATACATTTGGGGTTTTCCAATTTTATCAATATGTTGTATAACTGTTCTTTTCTAATTTCCACTCGAATTTCCATAAACTTCTAGATTCTAGACCATGTAATGTGAAGTTCCCATATGTATTACATACCCCTGTCAGTGAATTTTTGAAAATTTTTACCTATATTAAATTTTTCTATACATAGAGCTAAAATTACATTTATCTGTTTTAACAAAGTTTACACTCATGTCTGGTTTGATATTGGTGACTATGCTTGAGTAAGATCTAAAAACCAGTCTTTTTTTCTGTACACAAACATAAAAGATTCTAATATACAGGGTGTTACAATTTGTGAGTAAGCATGAGAATCTCAATAACCCGAGCAATAACCATATAGGGTACAAAATTTTGCAAAATAGGTTTTATTTTTTCCTGAGCTTATTTGAAGAGATACTTCAAAATAAATGACACTTTAGGTATTGTTTCCACCTTTTCTTCACTTTATTCAGAAACAAATGAGATTGTATATTGAGATTTTCATCAAAAGATACCAGTGTAAACCCAGTCATATCGATTCAATTTCTTTTATGGCCAATCAAGTCAACTAAGTATAGAAATTGTATTGGCTAGTAAAGTTTTTGAGCTGTTTAAGTTTTTTTTTTTAGTACTCGTACTACTACTGTGTACTTTATTTTTAGACATAGGATCAGCTTTTGCGAACAAATATTTATATTTACAAAATGAAGCAAATTTTAAGTTGAGTGGAGTAGCTTTGGGTGCGTTTACATCAGAACCTTAAAATAATAAAGTGTGTTTTACCAATCTTTCTTGTAGGTTTATTTATCACCCCCACAAATCCGTGAGATTGAAAGTTAGTAATATAAAGTGTGTTTTTTTTTTTAAAGATAAAAGTCAAAATGACATTATGTTGGCAATACAATGTAAAATTGTCAATGCTTTCAAATTTTTTATGTAGAAAAGGCTTGTGCTGCCAACATAGTTACTAAATTTTTGACTTGGGGTATCTTAAAAAAAAAAAACTTTAGGTATAAAAATAAAAAAATACTATTTTAGAAACTTTTATTGATTATAAGTGGAAAACAAAAATTTGCTTAGATTTTTTAAAAAAAAGGAAAGGTACATTTTCAATCCACCCTAAGGAGGGTTGAAGCAACAGTTTGGGAATTTTTGATCTATTGAAAATGTTCAACTTTGCGGCTCAATTGCTCAGAAAGTATTCGAGCCAATTTAGCACGAATTTATAGAGAATTTAATGCTCTTTTTAAGGGTGTATAATTTATTTTGATTTGCTCGAGTTTTAAGGAAAATATTGGTAATTTTTCTTAACCTTGTCAAAATTTTTAATAAATTGAGATTTTTTTTTTTGAAATTTTTTTCCTGTTTGAAATGGTTATTTGAAGATGATGTTAAATTGTTTTTCCACTAATTAAGACCCGCTCTTTTGTTTGGAAAAGTCAATCAATCAATATCAATCAATATATGGTTTATTGTCGTAAAAATACAATTGATCTTTATAGACAAAGCAAAGTATAGGGCTTTAAAACAAAATAAAATAAAATATAAAGACATTGAAAATCACAACATTTAAATACAAAAATTTTACAAATAAAATCAAAAGAAAATACAAATAATAGAAACATACTTAAGCAAAATACACTTTGGCCTAACAAAATCTTAACTTATATATAAATACCCGGTTAAATTTTATAACCTTTATCAACCAGCAACGCTTTTACCGTTCTTCTAAAAGTCTGTATATTATGTAGTCTTCTACAGTCAGATGGCAATTTATTGAAAATCTTAATGCTGTCATAAATCAGGGATTGCTTTGTAAGGCTGGATCTTGGAATTGGGAGGGGAATATTTCTATCCTAAAGTTATAGCTCGGGGCAAAGATTACATCCCTGAATTTTTTAAAAAATAAGCAAACTGTTTCCAATATAAAAATGCATGTGACAGTTAAAATCTAATGTTTCAAAAATAGGGGCTTGCAATGTTCTCTTACATCAGCCCCACATAAGTATCTTATTGCCCTCTTCTGCAAAACAAATACCGAATCCAAAAGGGTTCTGTTACAGCAACCCCAGAAGGCCACTCCATAACGCAAAAACGACTCAATCAAAGCAAAATATGTTGTCCTGGCCATTCTGAATCCCAACGCAGAAACTGTTTGACGCACGGCAAAACACCCCGAGGCTAGTTTCCTATTTAAATTTGTTATGTGCTCACTAAACTTTAGTCTATCATCAATATAGATTCCCAGAAATTTTGCAGTATTAGAACCCCTTATTACCTTGTCACCAAGGGGAATGTCACTAATGGATAGCTTAAAACTTAAAACCTTTGTTTTTTCTATGTTAAAACAGAGAAAGTTGCTATTGCACCACTCTTTAATCTTGCCCATATCCTCAGAAATAATCTGTTTTAAAACCTCTGGGTCTTTATGATACCATAAAACAGTGGTGTCGTCAGCAAAGATAGTAAAAAAACCTTGTATATTAGTTATAATTAAATCGTTGATGTATAAAAGAAAAAGAACTGGGCCAAGCACCGAACCCTGTGGAACCCCATGATTTATTGGTCTAGGATCTGAGGCCTGGCACCCATTCCTGACCATTTGCTTCCTCCAACCCAAATATGATCTAAAAAACCTCAGCACACTACCTCTAAAGCCATACATATGTAGTTTTTTAACAACAATTCATGGTTAACGCAGTCAAAGGCTTTAGAGAAGTCGCAAAAAACGGCCGCGGCATATTCCCGATCATTCAGTTTGAAATAAAGCTCCTCTAAAAAAGAAAAGACAGCGTCATTTATACCCGTACCTTCCTGAAAGCCAAACTGAAATTTGTTCAAAATTTTATGTTTATCTAGAAATTGCAGCATACGCTCCTTGACAATTTTTTCAATTATCTTAGATAGCGTAGGTAAAAGGGAAATAGGTCTAAAATTAGGATTTATGCAATGACACTACTATATAGAGGTCTTCAAGCATTCAGGAAAGTTCCCAGTTGAAAAATTTTTATTTATTGCCTGAGCCACTACATTTAAAGTTCTGTCATCAAGATTAAGAAACAGTGACAACGGAATGCCATCGTTGCCCGCACCATTCCGATTTTTTATATTCCTCAAAACAACCCTAATTTCGGCAATATTTGTTGGTGTGAGCAGGAAATCGTCGGCAATAAAAGTGTCCTTCAAGTAATCTAAAGGATCTGTCTCAGACTGCAACCCCGCTGTCAAATTTTCCGCGATTGTACAAAAATAGTCATTAATAATGTTAGGATCCATGTCAAAATTCGGAAAGAGTACCTCTTTGAATTCTTATTTCAAAATCTTTAAACTTCAAAATTTTGAAATCTGTGAGAAGGAATTGTAGCTCCTATTAAGTTCTTGAAAACCTGTATTGGTAAATATTTTCAGGTTTATAGTTTTTGAGAAAATTCAGTTTAAAGTTTTTGACTAAATTTCGACTGAAATTCAAATTTGAGGCTCTAGGGCTCAAAAAGTATTTGAGCTATCACACTCAATTTAGCACAGATTTATAGAGAATTTGATGCTCTTTTTAATAGTGTATAATTGATTTTGAGTTGTTCAAATTTCAATGGAAATATTGGCAATTTTTCTTAACCTTGTCATGATTCCTCGCATGATTCGAAAAAAAATCAGGGGGCGGATTACGAACTCTCGATTCGAACCGAAACCGCCATGTTACACCGAAATTTTGATTTCGAACGCACTCCATGCGAATGCATTTCCACGAAAGTCACTCGACTGGTCGATTCGTATTCACTTTCGTATCGAGTGTCCGTTTCGAGTCGTGTTTTCGCAATCCCCCCGCTGGACTAAAAAATGATTTTTTTTTGTGATTTTTTTTCTCTTTGAATTGATCATTTGGAAACGATGTTAGGGTTTCTTTCGACTACTGTAGACCCGTTTTATCAATTGGAAAACTCAAAATTCAGAAAATATGAAAAATGAACAAATAGTATATTACATACCGAGGTGGAAAGTGTTTCATTACTGTCGAGAGATTTTAGTTAGACCGAGGTCTAAGTAAAATCTCGAAAACGCTCATTGTTCATCCATCTCAATACAAATACACAAGCACTACGCGTTTGACACTGACACTTTTGAGTTTGTTTATAATGGTTCCATGCTACTACTTATTTAATTTGAGAAATGTTGTGATTGGTGTGCAAGCGGGAATAATGACCATTAATCCCTGCGGGAATAATATATGTCATTAAACTGCCAAAATCACAAGTATAATACTGACATTATAATATGTCAGTTGTAAATAAAATATTTTTAAATCACTGAGGTGATAAACGTCTACTTACCTTTATTGTTATGCGTTCAATAATGTCATTTTTAAACGTCAAAATGGAATAAAAAATATTTCGCCACCTTTATTGTCATTAATAATGGTCCATAATATAACAAATAATTGTTTGATGCGTTTTCTTGACTGTTTTTTTGAAATAGTGAAGGTTTTTGTTTTTATTGTGAGTCAGTCAGGTTGAAAAATGAAACAACATTTTTTTTCACGTTTCGGAATTTTCTATTATAATTCCATCTTCAG